GGTATCGGGCCGGATCAGGCCCCTGGAGCGGGTTACTGGACCCACCCAAGTTTCTACGGATCTTTCGGGCATCCTTTCCCAGCAGCCCAGGCAAGCGAAGGGAGCAGAAGGCAGCTAGCTTTCAGGGGCCCCGTGAGCTGCAGCAGGACCGGCTGAAGCAGCCTTCGGTGCAGCACATGGGGAACCTCTGCGGGATGGAGTCTTGCTGAACAGAGACCCTCCAAACACCTCTTTTTGCGGGTGCTGACAGCGCGTGCGGTCCTTACACCAGTGGTGATCACAGGCACGGACAGCCCATGAAGATGCATCATTGGGCTTTGCTGCGTGTTCAGTATTACATGGCTTGGGCTTAGCTTGTTAGAAAACTTTTTTGCTCTTATGAAATACAGTATGTTTCTCCAAGAAGTACAGAGAGGAGTGATGTTTTTAGTACAGCTGCTGTTTGTGTGTGTGGACATCCTTTTGAAGATGTCCAGTAGTTATATTTGTAGCTCTCATCAGAGCAAGTTGGGACTGAGATACTGCAAGTCGTGGGCTGCAAAACTGAGGCACAGAACCAGAGCCCTAGTGGCCTCTCCATCTTCACTTTGGAGTGAAGGGAGCACTCTCCCACTCAAGCAGTTCTCCTGGGAACTGCCATATTAAAATCCTTCAGGAAAATTGGACATGTTGCTATTGGTGTCTGTTATGTGGTCAGGCAAGATGAACACCAGCAGTGTCTCTAAGCGAATATTACTATTAATGTGTTTTTAATGAGTGCTGTAGGCCTAAACCATACCCAGCGCATCTCCTTCAGGCATGAGTGTTTGGCCTGAGCAGTCAGGCAAGCAGCACTTGGATGGGAGAGCAGCTGCAGTGCACCATGGTTTGTTTTGTGAGTTTTTTAAGTTTGCTTTAGTGATTATGGTAATCCTCTTCTTCAGCTCCGTCTAGAGTGATTCTGTCTACCTTCATAGCCACTTGCTTTTAAAACCTGCTGCTCCCAGTTTTCCATAATATATGTGAAAGTGGTTCCTTCAGTCCTTGAGGAAAGCAGAACACAGAAATTCAGAATGAAAACTCAAAACTTTCTCTTCAATCTTGTTTTCAGCACAATGGATGCTTTGCACTGCTCCTACATGGGAAATAGACAGATTAAGTGTGATTGGCACAGATGTGGAGGGAGGTGAATTGATTTGCCAAAGGTCAGAGAGTCGATGTCAGTGCTGGGATCATCCCTAAGGCCTGCTTGTCTCCCAGCTGGTAGATGACACTTTTTTTGCATAACTTGGGTGTGCAGAATGCAGTGATCTGTGTTTGCACCAGTGGCATCTGCCCTCCAAAGGTGTTGTACCTGTTTATCAAGAGCTTAGGTGGTGGTCCCTCCCCACCTAACTGTCTTCCTCTTTTTGTTGCTTGGAGCATTATAATATATGAAGAAGAGCCTTTTTTCTTTTTTACTTTTTTTTTCTCCTTACAGGTCAGACTAAATAGCCCTGATCAGAGACTAAGGGACTTTGCTTTTCCTGTGTGATTGTTTCAGGCTGTCTGGCAAGCTGGGCCACCAAAGCTGCGTGTCCTGCTCCCCTTTGTTGGTTCTCTCTATGGCAGTAAGGGCTCCTGTGTGTCTCTGTTGCATGGTGGTCTCAGAGGGATGCCAGTGCTTCTGATCCTTCTTACGTGGCAATGAGTAACACAGGGAGGGAATCTGACCCGCAGAAACCTAACACTGGTGTTCCATGAGCTGATCTAACTAATGTCTTAGTTCCTTTTTTAAGCAGAACTGTATGGTTTTCATAAGGACAATTTTACCCTGGCTTTTGTGACTGTCTATCTGCTGACTCTTGGTTTAGTGTCTTGAAGCTTGCCTGCAAAGAAATTAATGCAGATAGCGCGATATCAAGAAATGCATTTAGTGAATTGCATTGTGGTATACTGTTTATTTTTTTCCCTGATAGCTTAAATCAGTTCCCTGAGTGCAACGGATACACAGCAAAAGGAGCAGTTTATTTTTCCAGTTGTATTGCTTTCTCCTGCTACATCTGCATCCCCTCTAAAACAACTGTTCTGGCAAAATATAACCTAAATTCAGCCTCTGTCAACAAGGTGAACATTAAGAAGCAGTTGTTCTGCGAAGCACTGGTAAAGTATATGAACTCCATGAAGAGACTCTGCCTCAGTCTCCCCGCTGTCCTGTCCTGCATGCTCTGCTCTGCAGAATTGCAATTGCAATCCATAGCAATGGTGCAATGGAGGAGGGAGCTGAAAAAAAGTTCCTGGCTTGTTCCCTCAGATCCTGTTTAAAATGGGCTGTTGGGTGGGCCAGCTCTTTCTCTCCCGAGTGTTATTATAATCCATTCATACTGGGGGAAAAGCAGGTTTGCTGCCAGGCGGCATATTTTCCATCAACACACATAATTGCCGGGTGGTGGAGAGAGGTAGAGACTCTGGTTTTCAGGCTGGAGGGAGGGAGTGTGGGCAGGGTGTGTGCTGGGCAGCATCACCGTGTGCCCAACTATGAATTCCAGGTTTTCCAGGGATGTGGGCTCAGCTGTGTAAGCAAAACGTTCTGCCCATTCACCCCTCAGCGTAGGCAACAGGAAGGGAGGCAGGTAGCCAAGCCTCCAGCAGCTTGAGGGACGGGGAGCTGGGCCAGGGGTGCAGCTGCGACAGGGCTCTCTTTTTAGCTTATTTTGGTTTCCACATGCACGTGGGCCATGCGAAGTTGGCTGAGCCAACCTTGACTCTGCTGTGTGCAAGCCCACCTGGGCTCTTCTAGCCAGTGGTTCAGCAAAACAAACAGGTTTTACCACCATGACCTGAAGGCCAGACTAGCTGCTGAAGTTCACTGGAGCAGGGTCAGGTTTCACTTCTGGCATGGTGAGGAGGTTCTTTATAGGGCTGACCCACAACAAACGCTGTGCTGTGTTGCTCGGACTGTCCCCAAGGAGCTAGAGGAGGTTTGTGCCAGCTGGTGAGTGTGCAGGGCAGCCACACCCACTGCAGAGAGGGACCTTCTTGTCGCCACCTTAGACCTTCCCCTGAGGTTCTGTCAAGGTCTCTCCAACATCTGTACACATATAGTAGTGGAAGACCTTGACTTAAACCGTCTCTTTTGAGATTTAAAAATTATTTTAACAAGTGAGAGCGTGTAAGTCCAGTAGCAGCCGTTCCTGTGTATCCCTCCGTAACTCCTTTCCTCCCAGCAGAAGCGCCTGCTGTGCCCAACGGGCGCTGGGTGTGGGGTCTAGGCAACTACATGGCAACCAGGCGTTGCAGGCAAACGTCCACAGCAACAGCCACAATGCGATCCAGCCCTGTTGGGTCTGGGGTGCCTTGTGGCTATGTTGCACTCGCTGTGCCACTGCTGGCGTTGCCGTGGCGCTGGCTGAGCATCACAGGCAGCTCTGCAGGCTGGGAGGATGGGGAAGAGCCTGTTTGCCCCATTTGGCCTCACAGTTGAAGACAGAAACAGAGAAGTGAAACTGTACACACGATATGGTCAGAGCAGCTATGTGGGAGGAGGGAGGGCTGAGCCATCCCCTCCCCAACCACTGTCAAAGTGAAGGGGTTCAGGAGAGCAGGGACATGTCAGCATAACACCGAGCCCTTAAAGGACCCAGATCCAAAGCCCAGCTCAGCCCACGGAAGGGGCTGTTCATTATGTCATCATCCTTTGCATCACAACAGAGGGTTTAAAGTGGTGGATTCCTGTTGCCCAGCCCACTTGGGTGCAGCTGGATAAGGGCTCATTTATCTGCCTGCAGACAGCTCGTTGGGCCCATCCACTCCTGCCGCTGCTCGGAGGACTTCGCTTTGTTTCCTGTTTCACCTAAAGTTTCTTAACTTCTGTTGCCTAAAATACAGTAGTTTATCATTTGTGGTTCTGTGTTTCATGTCTTCCTGTATGCTCGTAGACTTATTTCCTGCCTCTTCCCCTGCATTTTCTGTTTCTCACATTAGCTCTCTAAACCCAGCTCCCCGAGCAAGTATTTCTACCTCGCAGGCTACTTACAGCAGCTAGATGCCTTTTCTGAGACAAACCAATCCCAGACTAAACTGTCCCAGCCCTTGCACTTACGCAGCTGCTAATTTGACCCTAATTCATTTTAAAAGGAGAGGATGGGTGGGTGAGGATGGAGTTCACTTGCTGGTATGTCTGCAACGCTCACAGACCCGCTGTGTGATTTGCATGCTTTCCCGTGGGAGAAGCAGCATTTTAACTCCTCCCTGATCACTTTAAAGCTGATTATTTCTATCTCTTGAGCTTTTGTCATAATTTTATTAGGTAAGGGGTTGAGTTAATCTTTTTTTAATCAATCCCTAATTTAGATAACAGCATTATGTACCCATGTTCTGCCTGAACTTCCTCATTCGTTCTCTTTGTGTTTTGCAGACTTCCTGGCTGTGCTTCAGCAGCGAGGGACTGAATATAGTTTTCTCTGCATCACAGTGATAGTGGTAATGTGCAGTTTAATGAACACCTGCAAAGTCGTGTAGCAGGTAAGTGCTCCAGGGGTCATTCTTCCTTCCAGATTTGATGTGATTTAAAAAAGCTTCGTGATGGGCTCTTACCAGGGGATCTCGAGCCTTGCAGCAGAAATGCCAGAAAGAAAGTGGTGTAGCTCATATTTTAGTAAACATTCCCAGCAACAAGGGTCAGACAGCACTTCAAAGCACAAGTAGAAATATTGAGAAGGCTTAATTTGGAAATGGCTTTAGTTTAGAAGATCTGTGTTAAAAGCCTCTCTCTTTTGGCATTCAGTATAAAATTGCCTTTATCTGACTGCTTGGTACGGTTGGGGTCTAGTCACAGAGTGATGGCAGAAGGGAACCAACAGGTCCAAGCTTTGCTGACAGCACCTACTGCCACATTTGCTGCTATGCAGGAGAATTTGTCAGAGGTACCTTACCCAGATTGGGAAAGCCCGAGATCCCCCCTCTTCCAGGTGTTGGAGGGAAAGCAATAGCCTGGAAGTGCCTGGACAACCTCCTGATGATCAAGGGTGACAGCAGAGGCAGCTGGATTGAAGGGAAATAGTGGCTTTTACAAGCCAGCAATATGCAGAATTTTCATGTTTGTATGAAAACCCCTGAAAAACCCACTGAAAGTGGAACTGCTGGGTGAACCGAGATGTCTGGCAGTGCCGCTCTGTGAGTGTGTGATGAGAGGCTCTGCGGGTAGCAGTGGTGGGAAGGGAAAAACTGGAGTTGATGGCAGAGGGAGCCACCAGAGCAGCGGTCCGGGCTGCCACAATGTCCTGCTACAGCTCAGAGTACCTGTTACTTCATGTACTCCATGTGACTTTTTTTTTTTTTAATTTTCTTATTTATTCTGGATCTGTGTCTGTGTTGGGTGGTGTCTGTCCCCTTCTTCCCATCCCAGCCAGTTCAAACGGCTGCTCTGCTCTACTCTAGCAAAGCTCAGCTCCCAGTGTTTCCTGGCATTCTCCTCCAGCCAGTCCCGATCAAAGCTGTGAGAGCTGGTTTGTTGCCATCCTCCTGTGTGTAAATGAAGCTCTTTATTTCCTTTCCCCCCACCGTCTTTCATTATTATCCCTCTTTCAGAGGCAGGATTTTCAGGCTGATCTAGGACATTATTTATATCGGTGATATTTGCCTCAAGGCAGAGATGCTTTTTCAGCATTTATAGGGAAAACATCTGATGCACCCCACTGCCATGCATGTGGCTTGGAAAAACCAAGCATGGTGTTGGCAAGGATGAGGACCATTGAGGCCAACTGTTGCAGAATTTAAGCCCTGTTAGGCACAGTCTCTGATTCATATGGTTATTTCAGTTGCCTGGCAAAAGAAAACGTACTGTTCCTTCACTTTTGAAACCAGGGGGAAGAGCACGTAGAGAAGGTTCTTAGGCCTGAGCAGAAAAGTGCCATTAGCTATAAGGCATAAGCCAAGCCACCTGTGTAACCAAGCGCATTTTTCTCTGGGTTGCCTCAAGGGATGGTGGGCACTGTCATTTGAAAAGATAGAGCTTGTGGCCAAGCCCAAATGAAACAATGAAAATCAGCTTCAGAGTGCCTTGCTTTCAGTTCTTCCAAATGGCAGAGGATTTGGTGATACTTGGGGAGTGCCTGATTGAGGAGTGGGAGCAAAAGGGTCCCACGCTGCTCAGGAGGAGGGAAGTAGCTCCCCAAGACAAGGTACCGTCTGCATGTGCCACAATCCCAGCAGGGCTTACAGCTTGTTTTAGAGAAAGCACATGCAGTGATGAGAGACCTTTCTACAGGTACATGTAGTTAAGCAGTAGTCTAGACTGCCTTGGGAGGCAGAGACGGAGTTTTGCTGGAAGCTTTTCAAAACAAAGTAGATAAAGACTTGCCAGAAACCATCCAGGCTCAGCGCAGGCCATGTGTGTAGGCAGCGGGGGGAGACTGTATTGCTTTTTCAGACCTCTTTTTTTCCCCTATTTTTTAAGCTCTTGTAGAATGTTAATACATATGAGAGATGGAGCTAAGGAGACATTCTCAAGCTTAAACTGTGACGTTTGATGTTCACAGCGTAGTGCTTCCCAGTGGGGCTTGTGCATGTATCTGCACCCAAAATGCTTAGATCCTAAGGTATTTCCTCCTGAATATTCAGATACCTGACTGCCACTGGTTTCAGATGAGAGTTTGATTTCTAAAGGCTTCTGGAGATTTAGCAACCAAAGACCTTGGGACTGTTGGAAATGTGAGAGAAAACACTTGGATTTTCTGCAGTACGGCCACTTCTGCACTGCAGATTGCAACCCATTCATATAATTGAAGAAGACTCTTATCTTTTTCTCCCAGGCGAGAAGGGACAAGGATGAGATGGGTGTGTCTGTATTTAGGGTAGCTGGAATTCATCAGCTGACCCTCCCCTACTGTAACACACGGTGACATAAATTATCTGTCTCACTAGGTGACTTAAGGACATACAGCTCTATTGCGGTCCTACCTAGCGAGCTGTCTATGCTCAGTCTAAGTATCATGGCCATGCTCTTCTGCAGCCAAAGTCAACAGCCAGTCTGAAGGTGCCTGGCTGATGTCCATCCCACCTGCCTGTTGAGCCATAGCTGCTTCGTGCTCTTGGAGTGCAGCATTCTGATCTGAAACTCTGAAGGAGTTACAGGAAGAAATGCTGTCTGAAGAGGACGTGTTTGTGTTGTAAGTCATCCACAACACATGCTCTCAGCTCGGCCTTGTATTTGCTGCTAGTCCTGGACACTTTCATTCTCCCATGAGGAGCTGGAATCCGTCTTTACTCTTTGCTAAGCTGAGCTCCTTGCCTGCTGCAGCAGAGGGGATTTTTGTGCCTATGAGCAGGGGCCCCACAGCTATGACTCACAGTTCCCATTACGTTGTAACTTCGCCTTTAAGTGTGCAGGGAGGCTGTCCCTCAGCTTTGAAACAAAGCCTTCCTCTGTTGTGCTTATGCTGTAAAGGCAGCAAGTGTATGTGTTCACCCCACACATCTCAAATGAAAACCACGTGGCTCCACAGCCTTGACATGTGTGTTTGGTACTTCTGCTACAGCAGTGCATATTACATTGGTCTTATCCCATGGAGTCTTTTCAGAGTTTTCTTCCCAGCATTCTGTTTACAAACTCTTCAGGGAAAGAAAGAGCTTAACTATGTTTTCTTTTGTTGGTAAGCAAAGGGGAGCGAGCAAAGAGCACATGAAAATTATTAAATATGGGTGCATGTGGCAATAGGCTGGTCTCTGAATTATTCCCCTGGGTGAAAATGGCTCTGAGTTGGTGGCCGTGATTGCTGAATGGATGAGCTTCATGGAAATATTATATGGAAGTGAGGCAGTTTGTTTTCTTGTATGGCTTTTCTTTTTTCTTATGATTTTTTATTTACTCAAACTCATTTTGAAAAGCAGGGTTAGCCAGCTCTGCAGCCAACATATTTGTGTTCGTGCGTGTCTCTTGGCAGTTTTTAGGTTTATGACTAGCGAGCCAAGACTGAGCTTACTGCTTCCCAAAGCATTTGTGTTGTTTCTCCTGTTCTTTTCTAGAGCCACCAGGTAATGAAATAAGAGGGCCTGATTCTTCCTGCAGACACTGGCATGCAATGCAGAGTGCCTCTTCTTACATCAGGGAGTCATCCTAGTGAGAGTAAAGGAAATGGGGCATTGCAGTAAAAGTGCTCTTGTTCTCTCCTCCTTCCACACCCTCTACCCATCCCTGCAAGGGCTTTCACAGTCTGCCTTTTTTTTTTTTTTTTACTTTATTTAAGGAACTATATTGTGTTTTATAAAAAAGCTGGGATTTCAGGCAATGGAATAAAGCATTGCTTTTCATTTCTGTGGTGGTGTTTTGGCTACAATAGCCAGCTTTTAAATACTGTTTCTCCCCAACTGTTTGAATACAAACAGCTGTAACCAGTTAGCAAAACAATAGTTTAATATCACACAAATGTCCAATCCCATCCAGAGTTTTTGAGGCCTGTTTAAGCAGATACTTGGGCCTGCAGGTCTCCTGACATAGGATTGTGACTTTGTCACTGAGTCAAGACTGTGATTCAAGAGATCTCAGATCAACCAAATTCCCAGACTGCAATGATGTTTTATTTTTGCTGTGTTTTTGTTCAGTGTCTTGGTGTGGAAGTGTCTGGGAACTACTGCGCTTTCTACTGTCTGTAATATATATGTGCTCATTGTTACATGACTGAAATGGGGCTTCATATAAAACGTAATCATTCTGCGAGTCATGTCTGAGCTGTGCCAATATCCACATGTGCTCTTCTTAGGTGTGCTGGAGTGGTGTATCACTGCTGGGAAATCAACTTTCTAATACTGTTTCCACCAGCCCTTTTAATATGGAAGCATTAATTTCAATGGATGTAGAATATACAGTTAAGTTGGATGTGGAGCGATATCGGGCATATGCTTACCTTAGGGCAAGGAGGGCCAGAGTAACCACTGCCTGATTTAGCAACACTGGTGTGATTGTCTCCACCCTGTTGAGAATTAAGTGGGGGAAAGGAGGGCAGATATAGATTCTCTCCACCTTTCCCTGAGGTGCCTGCCAGATTGGATCAGTGAGCTGCGGCTGCCTGCTCGTGCAAGGGGAGGTCATGTCACTGAGAGCGTGACAGCCGGAGTGGGTCCCCGCGTGAGCACCAGGTGGAGGCCTGAGAGCATCTGTGCAGTGACATTGCTCCATACATTGTGGCTGACACTGTCAGGCTTCTGGTAAAGCAGCAGGGGGTTTGTGTCCATCTGTGCTGATGAAAGATTGTGCAAGGGAATGACCAGGTATTGCCCGGGCTCCCATCACTTTGGGTTTGAGGGGGCTGGTGAGGCTGGTAAGCCAACTTTTTTTTTTTTTTTTTCCCCTCTTGGTGTGTATCTTTTCTCCTCCTAAAAAAAAACAAAAAAGCCACAAAAGTTTGAGCTACTCCAATTGTTTTCCTCACAATTAACAGACAAAATTTTATTTGGCTTAAAAAAGCCAAGCTGTTCCTGGCTGGGATCCTACCACAACAGCTCAGTACGTGGGTGGGAGCCACATG